CGCTTGACAATGAGAGAAGGGAGATGTGGGAAAGCTGAACCCAGTAGAATATTGGGATGCTCACGAGTTGAGACCAGTACCAGTGACCAGCCTCAGTGGCGACATCGTGATGCTACATTATCTTTTGCATCAATAATATCAATCAAGAGCCGGTTAGTGACAACGATAATTGACTGATCAAGATTCTGCTCAAAGTTGAAGTATAGAAGATCCTTGAATATTGTACTGACTTTCTCTTTCCCACGCATCCCGAAAGACATTGCAGTCTCGATCTCGCCTCACTTTTGTGGACATTCTCAGTGGGACTCGGAGCATGGCCAAGTAGGTTAAGAGGCATACACACCGTGTTCTCGGTTACCTGACTGTAACCCCGTTGTGTGGCGTGGCAAGAATAGCTTCGCAACAATATAGAATTCTCTCAATTCTTACCGTTTCGTTTGGAATGTTAAGACTGGACGGCGATAGGGTATTCAATGCAAAATCAAGTCTTCTATTCTCATGATCGGGGAAAATGATCTATCAGTACATGTTTAAACAGGTATATCTCGAAAACTATTCACCTTTTGCAAAACGGGACACAAAGTCGAGAGGAAATCGACAGAAAGCTTGGCTGCATATGGTCGAAATACAAGAAAACACAGGAGACAATAAGCTATCGATATCATGCCTGAAAGAAATCTAACGAACAGGAGACTTGAAGAAGGCTGGATTAGCGAAATGTTTGCATAATGCCTTGGCAAACTCGAAGAAGAGCATGGAAAAGCAATATGAGCAAAAGAATACGACTAGACAAGGGTAATCTTTTTTATTTTAGGAAAAGAAATTACAAGGAGACTAGAGAGAAATACTCGGAAATCATCAGGAAACGTCTACAGTGAGTCTATTCAAATTAAGTAAAACCATCACATTTGGGGGTCAGAATGCAAGAGACAATGGCATAAGACTGCCATGGATTTGACATTAGGAATAGAAGAGGGAAAGAAATGTTGGTGACCATTTATAGTTATTGAAGCGGGTTGACCTCGTTGTCGCAACTCAGTCTTGTTGTCAGGGAGACTATGTAGAACGCACCTATTTCGAAGTCGTCTGCAATAGTAGTTGTCATGATTCCCAGCATCTGACAGTGAACTTGATACATTCTTAAACGTTTCGCCGCCATCGTAGTCGGCATCATCAGTGAGCTTTACCATTCTCCGCACCAAGCTACGAACTCGTCAAAGAGACCATAACAGAGGCCACAACATCTTTGTCTTCATTTATTCATTTCTAGTAAGCTATTAGTATTTAGGTTTGCTCATAGACGTGGTCCATGAATTCAAGGCTTGAAAACGAGATTTACTCGGTGCATTTGCGGAATCTGTAGCGTCAAGTTAGGTTGCCATGCCAATTGAGAATTCAGACTTTAGTGGCTTGTTTGTAGCAGAATGTAGAACATAGCGCCTTGTGTAGCACTGATGCGGTGGCAGCAATTGAGCGAAATTACTAAAACAGGAAGATAAGGGGATGATATGTGAATACCCAGGACAAAATGAGAGATAGCAAAACTGTTTGGAGGACATTTAGTCAAAGGATCGACTTTACTTGTTTCTTTGACGAGTTGTGGTGTGGTGTTAAGGCTAGCAAGGCTCACTGGCCATGCCGACTACGATGCCAGCAAAACATCTGGGAATGTACAAAATTCACGGTCCGACTCTAGAGATTAGCATAAGTACTATGTACTCTGTACAAGGTGCGTTTATCTTGGTCTTCCTGATAATATGACTAAGTTTCGAAAATAAGGGTAAACGACTTCTATTCACAAGTTTATTTGCGGCATCATCTCTAGGATGTGCAAAAAATATCAGAGATCCTACTTTTAGGAGAGGAGGAACAAAAAATTCAGGAGAGGACTTGATTTTTCTTTCGAATTGTACTGTAATATTTCTAAAAATCTGTTCTTATATATTGTGGATTGTGGTTCTCTCCTCGCCTTGGCCTAATACTAACTTCAGTATCGAAGTGTACTTTAATCCAGTCATTGATAAGGTTTAGGGCATTAAGAAATAATAAATCATTCAGACTTATAGCATACTATTATTATGCATATCACGGAGAGGGCAGTCGGATTC